AACAAAGATGTGTTCGTTCGTGTTCGGCTCGTTTTGGCTCGAAATACTACTCATCAAGTTTATATATATATGTATATATATATATATATATAAAGTAGTATTTTAAAAAAAAATCTAATTGACTACAAGGCTACAAAGATTTATAATCAATAAAATATTGATGAAGAAAATAGAATAAAAATTATTAAATTAGATTCAAATAATGTTTTTATATAAATAATAATTTTTAAATCTTGCTCAAACCCTTATTGTTTTATGACGACATGATTAGGGTTGTTCAAAAGGACTCTTTGTTCGTGAACAGCTCGTGTTCGGCTCGTTAAGCAAAAGAGCTGAACCCGAACACTCTTTTTGAGCTCGAAATATAAATGAGCCGAACGCGAGCTGAGCTTGGCTCGCTCGTGTTTGTCTCGTTTACACCCCTAGTCGGGAAGTTTTTTAACTACATAAGCATACTAAATAACCACCTAAGTAGAAATTTGTGTTGGGTCAGTCAAGTTCGAGAAGCACTGGGACTCTCCTCAGGACATGTAAAAATGATGCAGTTATTTAGAGTGGCTCTTAGAGATTGTGGAGATCCTATTAGTATGACTTGGGCTATGGTCAAGCATGCAACCCATTTTAAAACTGGTCTGAAGGTCGTGCATAAAAGTAAAAGTAGGTTTTAAAAGCCCTAATCTTTTAATGCTAATTTTAGATTTTCTCAACCTCTTATGATTAATATTTTTGTAGGAAAAAAAAACAATTTTAAGGTTCTAAGGAGCGTAAATTTCAACCAGAAAGAAACTAGGAAAATAATCCAAACATGCAAATATACCAAAAAAGTATAAAAACAAGTCAAATATAAAATAATAAAAGGTCGGTGTCACTGGGTTGGCGACATATCCCATAAAAGAAAAATGTGGTCAGGCTCTGGATGTGTGATCCCAATTCAATATATAAAAAAGATTTATAATTAAAGAATGAGAAAAAAACAAACAACTCATGGTCCCCGTCATGTAGTTCCACCCATCTGATGCCTCAGAACCCGTGTCTGTACTATATTTCTAATACATAATCTCCTAAAACTCAGAAAGTACAGAGAAAAAAGAAGAACAAGGACTCGACTTGCATGAAACAACATTAGCGAGAAGGATAATAAACATGCAACATATAATAAGTCATTTTTTTTTAGTTAAATAACACCTAAAAATAAAAGGTTAGTAGAAATCATCACATGGTCCTCCTTAATGGTACATTTGTGTGCACATATATAGACACGACTCCTTACAGAAGAACAACATAATATGCTACCATTCATATCAAGCATGCAAGCACACCAAAAAGCATAAAATGTGATGCATAGTCAGGGCAACCAAATTAACAGAGAATTATATCTAGGACATCGTAAGAGACTGTCTAGCTTCCTAGTCCTTAACCTAGCACACCATCTAACGAAAATGTATCTTAACCAGCATCTAAGTGCTCAGGATAAGTCTCGAGGTATGTATGACTTTGATGGAATCGCCACACAGGCCCCACCCTAAAGATCCAAAGGATATAAAGAGTTCACCTATTATGCATTTTAAAAAAGAGTCGGACTTACACATGACATAGTTTACTACATGCATAATTTAAAAAGTATGACAAATGTAATAAGTAGAAAAATATACATTTTTGGTTTTTAAATGACAAATGTAATAAGAGCCATTAAATGTGAACTTGTTACATGCAATATGACATGAGTTAGATCCCTTAGATTATTGACAGAGTCATACTTACGTTAATCCCGATGTTTTAACTCGTATTGATCGTCGGGATCGACCTGGTAAGCAAAATTGTTAAGACATCGCAACCAACACGTAGTCACTGGCCTTCGAGCCTAACTAGCTATTGATACACACATACAAATGCAAATGCAAACAATCATGTGATAGAAGTGGTGATGAGTGTGTCGTTGAGGCAGTGACTCAGGAACGGGTTTGCCGTAGAGGCGACAACCCAAATGAATGGGTGTGTCGTAGAGACAGTGACCCAGAAGGGTAGGCGTGTGGTAGAGGCAGCAACCCAAAAGAATAGGTGTGTCGTTGAGGTAATGCCCTAGAAGGGTAGACGTCACGTGGAGGTAGCGACCCAAAGAAATGAGTGTGTCGTGAAGGCAGTGAACCGGAAGAGTGAACATACCGTACAGACATCAATCTAAAGAAATGGGTGTGTTGTGGCGGCAACAACCCAAAAGGTTAGGTGAGCCGTAGAGGCAACAACCTGAAAAAAAGGGTGTGTTGTGAAGGCAAAGACCTGAAGACATGAGTGTGTAGTGGATGCAGTGACCTTAAAAAGGTGGGCGTGCCTTGGAGACAGCGGTCCAAAGGAATATGTGCGCTGTGGAGGCAGGCACCCAAAAAGGGTGAGCATGTCGTGGAGACAACAACTGAAATATTGGTGTGTTGTGGAGGTAGTGACTCGAAAGAGGTGTGCATATCGTGGAAGCAACGAACTGAAATATGGGTGGTGTCGTGGAGGCTGTGACTCGAAAGGAAAGGGTGTGTCATAGAGGCAACGAGTTGAAAAATAAGTGTGTCGTGGGGGTAGTGACCTAAAAGGGGAGGGCATGCCATGGAGATAGTGACCCGAAAGATGGGTGCGTCGTGAGGGCAGTGGCCCGAAATGGTGCATATGACGGTCCAAAGCGGTGTCGTAGGAGGTGCAAGGATGTAACTCCCACTGGAGGGAATTTCACAACAAATTAGCTTGGTGACGGACCATTCGTTCACATAATATGTGAACGTGAGAGATACGTGTATGAGAAACAAAAATCCAAGTGCAACACGTGTAAATGCACAGGTTATGAAAGATCAGGGTGCTATGCAAGCAAGCACACAGAGATGGGAAGTGCAAGTGTGAGCCACATATGAAATGGTGCTAAGTGACATGACGCAATCACGAAGCAAATGTGGAGTAATGTGTCATTTAGAGGCATACGTACTTATCACGAGCATATGTTTTGTCATAATAGATTCGCCCACCATACTTATCAAGCTCATCAGAGTGTGAGTGAATAACTAAATCAATATCCTTTAAAATGTTATGTGGATGTGGCCCAAAAAAAAAAAAAAAGGGAGAGAGAGAGAGGATTGATATCCTTCAAGAAAGCAAAGCTAACCACAAGATATCAATTGTAAAGACATAGCACAATCTCGATACAAAAGTATAATCAATATGTCTTAGTTTCAATACCTTCCTCTCTCTCTCTCTCTCTCTCTCTCACTACCCCCCTCTCTCTCTCTCTCTCTCTCTCTCTCTCTCTCTCTCTCTCTCGCATTAAATGTTTTGCATTTATGTTGTGCTAATGTTCACAATTATATTTACTTAAATGCGCTAAAAAATCATATTACATTACTAATTACTATTCTTATTTGTTAAGACATAATAACACATGAAAGTTATTCTCAATTTAAGATGCCACAAATTATATAATATTAAGTTAAATTCAATAGAAAAATAAATATAATATTTAAATATTTAATATTATAAGTATTTAACTTTAAAATTATTTATGTTATCTATATATTAAAGTTTGAACGTAAATGTTATTAACTCAAAAATTTAACTTAATTGAGAAATTTTGTTTTTAATCATATGTTGATGATATAAACTTTTTTCTTAACCTTAAATTATGTTCATATTAAATTTGTTGTATCATAATTTATCCTCTGTGAATCACACCCTGAGAGTTAGAGCCGAGTGAATGAGAGAAGGAAGAGAGAGCAGAATAAGCTTAATTTTTTTTTGTAGGGAGAATTGATGGAGAGAGATCCTTTTTGTATGAAAATTGTTTCTAATGTCGTTAAGACCATGATTGATCGTATATTTTTTGTCATATTTACATTACAATTTGAATTTTAACATTGGTGATAATTTTGTTGGTTGGTTGACTTGAAGTTTGCTAATTAAGGTGGCTAGCCGAGTGACATACGTGCCCTTTGAAGTACACGTTGGTCGATCGAGGTTTTCGACCGCATGATACTATTGCTAGGTCTATTTTGTCACAATCAACAAAAGCGGTCGGTTGTGAGGTGGTCTTTCGATCCGGACACGAGGTTGGTCGATGGAATGTGATCAATTAGTTTTGTTTTTTTGTTGAGTGTGTCGTGGCTGATTTTTCGTTCAACACGAGTCTTACAGGAATTGTGTCTCACATGAATAGTTGGTCCATCGTTTCAACCAAATCTCCCAACCTCACAAGGCCGACGTGGCACACAGTTGAGATGATTTATGCCTCACTTTCGACAGATTTGCCGCTATCGAGCAAGAAATCATCAATAGAGCTTGAACCTATCTTGAGTTTGGAGGTAAGACTTCATCCTCTGCCTTGAATTGTCGTTTGATTGCTCACGTGAAAAGAATATTATTTCATCTTGATCGTTCATCATTTTTGAGATTCGTGATTTTTTTTATGTATACTAAATTCAAAATTATTTGCTTAGCTTAAAAGTCTTCCCATGATATACCGAACAAATTGATTTTACTCAGTGAGGTCCTGTTCCGGGGGGCGAGAAAGAATCGCGACGCCACGTGGCAGAAGGCAATTTCTCTTGACCCGCTGCAGTAATGAACATGGTGGCACTTTTAAATTCATCAAGTCCGTCAATTTTCCATTCTTCTCCAGCTGGACGGTTAGATTCCGTGCGCTGTTTATGCTCTCGTACTAACAAGTTGGAAGAATAGAAGCCTGAGTTGAGAATTATCTATAAATTGTTCTCCTCCCTCTTGAATTGCAAGGGGGGGTGCGGGGCAAAGTAGCTACAGGGGAGACAGAGGAGCAGCGGCGGAGGAATCCCTACGCGCCTGTCATGGTTAGCGAGCGAGAAACAGAGAGAGAAAGCTCTCTCTCTCTCTTTATTCTAAGCTATTTTGATTTTCGATTCGTATCTGGGGTTTTGTTCTGTTTTTACAATTGATACTAGATTCGTGATTTCAAAGCAGCGATGAGAGAATTGAATATTGTCTGGATTAAGTTGATGTAGATGTTGATTCTGGATTTCGTTTTGGAATGAAGCTTTTGATGTCATGACATTTTTTATGCTGGATCTGGTTTCTTTCAGTTTAAGCTTTTGTATAGAATCCTTGTCGTCTCTTTTCTCGGTTTATCTTTGTGGTGACATTTTGGAACATGTGTAGGAGGAATTGCCTGCGCGTGGTTTTGGATTGGAGCTTGAGGAGTTCGCTCCAGCTTCAACGCCGCCGCTATTTGATGAGGATTCACCAGGTTAGCTTCCATGATTCTATTAATTGAATTATTTCTCCTGTATTTTCAGTCTTTATGGAAATAATCTCTTTTAGTTCTGTAATTTAATCTAACGATTCTGATGCTTGTGCTGAATTGTTTTTATCTTCGTTTAATTTCATTGATCTGCGTTACGCCATTAGCATAATACAGTAAACAGAGTATCGGCAGGCAACTTGAATATTAATCGTTCGTTGTTTTCCCATAAAAAAATACGAGGTTTTTTAGTTTCATGGACATGCCGCAAGCATTAATTTAGAAAATTTAGATATAGAAATGGGAAGAACTTGTTTTTCCCATAAAAAGTACAGGATTTTATAGCCATGTTATGTTTAATATTTGTCTGTTAATGGGAACTTATTGAATGATCCTGATTCTCAGAAGATGAAGGGAGCAGAGCATCACCTGTTCCTCCGAACAAATCTCAGGTACTCACCACAGAACTAAATTTTCATTCTTTTGCCTTTTTTTCATTCTGCATTAATGGCTGATGAATACAGAACATTGGGCCTTCACCACAGAACTAAATTTTCATTCTTTTGCAGTCTTTTACCGGCAGCGAAGTGCAGGCTGTGGCTGAAGCGGAGGAGGAACAGCCGCCATTAATCAGCGCAAGCTTTCAGGATTTGAACATCTCTTCTACATCATACCCGGATGCATATATTGAGATAAATGACCTGCTGGATCCAAACCCACCGACATCCATTTCAGACAATTCCAACTTAATTTATGAGGATTCTGATGACTATTTTGATCCTGAAGAGTTGTTGGAGCTTCTTGGTATTAAAAGTGATCAGACCTGATTTGGATTTGTGGATGCTCACTCCGGCGCCGGCGCCTCCGCAGCCTTCTCTCCTCGGAGGTTCTTCTTGCTTATTTATGGCTGCTGCGTAATTTCTTATAATATATATGTCATGGTCTTGTTATAAATAAAGGAGAGAAAGTATCACTTGGAACTATTTGTGAAACCTCTGCTGTCCCTTTCCTTGTTCTGATTCTGTTCTGTGAGAAAAGGTTCATTAGGCAGTCCAAGTAGCCAGATCAAATCTTTTGGCTTTTCTATATCTGGAAAGCCAGTCTTTTGTTTATCCCTGGTTACATCCTTAGTTTTAGGAAGATTTGCATGCTTGCCACTCAATTCTTACGTATTTACATATATAACACCTAAATTTAGAGTAAAAGTTTTAGTATTTTTTATGCGATATTGTTATGGTATGACTCATATACCATATAGGGACAGACGCTGGAACGAAGCGGAGCGGAGCGAAAGAATCTGTCCAAATTAGGAAGTTACATTATGTGGGTTGGGGATGCTGGGTCAACGCCCCGCTATACGGTACAGAGGTAATTTGGGAATTACATATTGTACTGTAGGGTTTACTCTAGGATTATAAATAGGCCTGTTTGTAATCCTAGGTTTTTGAGAGAGCTGAATATTGTATTCTGTAATCTTTTCTGAATATTGAAAAGGAGGTCGCCGCTCTGCTCCCGAGGACGTATGCATCTTTGCCGAACCTCATTAAATCTCTGTGTTCTTCTGGATTTGTGTCGGTTCTTATTTTTCTTCGCCCTAATTTTCTCAATAGATATAATGTGAAATGTAAATTTTAGGGGTTAGATATGTGAATATATAGGAATTGAGTGGTATGTATGTGAAGGCCCTATAAATTGGATAATTTTTTTTAAAATTACCTTTAATTTCTTTTTAAATTTGACAATAAAAAAAGAATAATTTTTAAAAACGACAGAGTAGGCACGTTAGCGGCGACTTTGTGACGTCGCAACTTCTGATGGTACTGGTAGTTTTTATGGGTTCATGTGATGCTGAAAAGATGACCTCACATCAGGATATAGTAAACTTTTGTTCCGTTGTAAACACCCGGAAAGCTTTTGTTTAGTGAAGCAATGTCCCCCGAACATATCCCGAAGTTCTTGCAAAAACGATAAAGTTTCATCATTTTAGATCACAAGTAGCCTTGAGTCATGAAGCTGAAGAACAACGTGCCGACTTTCCTTGACTGTCAAAGCCGAAGACAAAGTCTTCCGAACCCCCCTGCGATCCTTGAGTGTCGACGATATAGGAACGATCTCAGCGCTGAAATACGATTTAAGGTTTGCTCCCTAGTTCTGATACCATGCGAAACTTTTGAGTAAATATGTTGAATGCCCTTATTCCTTTGCTTTCATTTCAATAAATAATAGTCTTTACGAAATTAAAAAATGGGCCGAGAAATATATATTTCAAAGTCCTCTTAATCTGAATTAATTACTTCAGCCACCATATTTATTTGTTGAGCCCATGTAATCTCTTAACCATATCGGTGCTTGCTTTCATCTTGCCGAACGACGCGCTCCTTCGAATAATATTATTGTCCGTGTGACCATGCTCTTGGGAAATATGATAGTATTGTTATATGATGTTAATGATTTTGGGGGGGTCCTATGAGTAAATATAAGTACTAATCAGTTCGGACGACTTAGGAAAGTTCTCTCGATCAAACTGTATTATGTGATTATTTAGATGCCTCAATGATGCTACAATTCAATGATATTAAGCTCTTTAGAATTGCTTTGGCGAGAAGCTCGAGTTAATTATCAGTATTTTAAATTTAAAATCGGTTTGACCTACGAATTATGCACATAAAGCTCTCAAAAGTAATCAATAGCTTGACTTGACTAAGATTTGACCAATTTTGGACCTTCGAAACCATCTCGTCGAACCAACTAATCTGTTGGTAACTTTGATGAAATCACAGTTCTGCATATTTTTTAATTGTAATTTAAATATTTCTTCCCAAAATTATTTCGAGATTCATACCATACTTCGAAATTCATTTTAATTTAGTTTTTTATCTTAAGTTATGTTTAAATTATGTTTATATTAAATTTAAAATTATTTGCTTAATTTCAAAACTTTATATTATATAACTAACAAAGAAATTTCATTTTGATTATTTTAGTCTGTGAGATGACATTTCCATAAAGGAAATCTTTTTCGGCGAAGAAACCAATCCATAAGCGCCACGTGGATTGAAAAAAAGTTCTTGCGGTCATTTCCAGCTGGACGGTCCAATGCATCTAGAATTCCTGTGTATTTATTTACTTCTCTAACATCTGAAATTTAATATTTATATTCATAACACTTTAATGTTATAATGTTATGCATCAAAATATGTATTTCATTAAACAAAATAAATAATATTAGTGATTGATGAGTGCTAGAAATTTTATAACGGTAGAGTAATAATTTTCATCGTGTTAACGCTGCTTGAAAGACAATTACGCACTCAGAGAAATAAGCAAGAAGGAGACTCCTCGACTTTTTACGCATAAAAACATTGAAAGAGAAAAAATCACAGAACCTAGCCCAATTAAAATAATTCATAATGTATGTTAAGTACATAGGTTCACTCTTTTCTCTAATTAGGGAATATCAAATTATAAAGTTCTACATTAGTAATTTAGTTGTAGTTTTATTTTTTTTTGTCATAGTTGGCTGAAATCATTAAAATGCAGTGATTGGTTCGATCAACAAGTTTAATTGTCCTGAATGAAATTGTGTGCATAAACACGGTGCTTTTGCAATGTCCACTCAATCGCAGAGTGCGGGGGTTTAATTGGACGACAAATGCATTAAGACCCCGCTTATTTGGTGTGATGCGTTTTAAAAACACATCTAGGCCCGTTTGTGGCGGATTATCTTTCAGCAGCTAATCAAAAACTTAGTAATAAGCTGCTCCAAACATACCCTTAAAAAATGAGCTAATAATATTTATTTTTCATATAAGTCCTCTTAATCTTAATTAATTACTGCAACCACCATATTTGTTTAATATCAAGAAATTTTGTTCATTTTCATGTTGCATTCAACACAATTAAGATTTGTTGAATCTACGCTATAAAATTATAATGAAATCAACAAAGTTAGTTAGATGAAACCATCATCATGAGATAAACATGTATAATTTCTTTTTTTAATTTACATACATAATATATATTTACATATCTAATATTTAAATTTTATTAATTTTATTTATTTATTTTTATTTTTGGTCAGCATTTCTCTGGTTAAACGCTGAATAAGCATGCATTTGATTATATGATTAGTGCTGGAACTTTAACAGGTGCTAAAAGGGTTTTAAGTAAAAAAAATATCAATAGGAAATTTTCATCATCCGACATGATTTTCAAGACTCGTCTCGACCTCCAATTTCAACAGACTTTATAGTCAAAGTGAGCGATCGATGATACTGACCCAATGATATCAAAATTAGTCCAATCCAAATCAACTGGAGCCCTGATCAAGCCATCACACTAAGTTTGAAAGTATTTCAGATATATTTGGAAGATCAAATGGATGTCGAATCAAGCGAGTTGATAATTGAACCAAAAGTCTCTACAAGACGAGTCCAACGAGTTTTTTTGTGCTAAATGCTTATATGATCAGTGCTGGGGCATTAAAATAATTAGCATTAGTAATATGTTTTTCATTTATAAAGTATAATAAATCATTAATTATTTTATCCACCAATTTCTTTATTTTGAAGAATTTACATACATGACACCAAAGTTTTTATGTATTTTTGTATACATCTAATATTTTTAGGGAAAATAACATTCACAACACTCAATTCTTATGAATTTACATCTCTCACCTAAAGTTTCATAATTTTTACGAAACACTTTACATAATTTGACTATTAAAAGGAGAAAATGAGGGTTGTTTTTCATATGATGTTCGTAATTATAAAAGTATTTGCGTGAAATTAATGAATATGAAAGTTTTGGATGTTATGTATGTAAATCTCATATTTTAATTTTAATTTATACATTATATATATATATATATATATATATATATA